CAGTTCTTTCAGCACACATGGTATGACCTTGGGATACTCTATAAACAGTTCTTTCAGCACACATGGTATGACCTTGGGATACTCTATAAACAGCTCTTTCAGAGGAGAGTTTTGTTACAGTATTTCTCAAACTTTTCGATACCAGGGATCGCTTTCTAAATTGTCATGGGTTATTAAAATGCGAGTACAATGAAAAACCATTACGATTTACGCATGAATATTCTGTCAGTTTTGTTTGTTTTCGTGAAATCCCCTGGATGTTGACGAACCAGTGGTTGAGAAAGGCCTTGAAAGCGAAAGCTCTGATTTTAAACATACAACATTGGTGTTAGGTTGTTCACAGTAATCTCATTTAATATTAAAGTAAAATGTCAGAATCTACAAAGATGTAAAGCCATGTATACTAAATGTTCGTTTAAGAGCACAGGCTGAGAGGTCGGTCATTTGTATTACAGATGCTTAGTTTACACAACACATTAAGTGACGGATGATGGCATTAACTTATAAAAGTAGTTTGTCTTATCATACTGTAGGATGCAGAATAAAACAAGTCGATTTCATAGATTATTAGACTAATCTTTCCTTACAAATTGATAACGCTACTGTCATTGCTTTTGAATATAAAAACCAATAAAAACATTATTAAATTACCTATTGTTAAAAATAGTTTTTATTGAGATACAAACCTGGTCCTGTTTCACAAGTCATGAAGTATTGCTGTAGAACTGGGGTATTGGAGCCTGTCTTGTTGTAAACTTCAGTCTCGCGGACCCACCAGTAAGGGCGTTCCCCATGTAATATCCTGGTTTAAGGATACAATAAAACATCCTAGAATGCCCCTGAAATTCCAACTAATGCAATCCTACATAGTAATAAGTTTAGTACAGGACAAAATGCCAGATAATACAATCGTATATATTAATAGGTTTGGCATAAGACGAAATAGCAATTAATACAATCTTATATAGTATTAGGTTTGGTAAAGCATAAGTCACCAGATAACACGATTTTATACTGTATATGGTGTTTTATATTTATATCTAATAATATGACTGTTAGCAAGATAGTAGGGTTTATATTTATACTTAACAATATGACTGTCATTAAGATAAATGTTTTATATTTATACTTAACAATATGACTGTTATTAAGATCATAGTGTTTTATATTTATACCTAATAATATGACTGTTATTAAGATATCAGTGTTATATATATTTATCTAACAATATGACTACTATCAAGATAATAGTATTTATATTTATACCTAACAATGACTGTTATTAAAATCACAATTTGATATTTATATCTAACAATATGACCGTTATTAAGATATCAGTGTTATATATATTTATCTAATAATATGACTGTTATCAAAATAATATTCTTTTTTATTCGTCCAATGTAAAAGGTATTTTTGAACATAATAAATATTTGTTTCAGTATATGATTTAACAAGATCTATATTCATACTTAGGTATTTAATGCTATAAACTGGTTTAAGTTGAAAAAAGATAGATGTTATCTCTACCACTTTAAGAGTTGATTGGACCACTCAGCAGTGACGATAACCCACATCAACTGTTTACCAATCTTCCAGTTCAGGGAGAAAACTAGAGGAGCATAGATGAGGAAAGCGTATCTAGGATCGCCCAGGTTGGAAATGGTAAAAAATACGTTTTGTTGTTGTTGGAACCTAGAAACAGTAGTAAAAACCGTCATTTTGTATAGGACATTTATTCAATCTAGAATAAGTATTTTATTTTAAATAAGTACTGAATATTAGGACTAAATGAGTAAAGTTGTTTCTAATACTTCCAAAGTGTGGTAAACTTGAGTAAGTTTCCTATATAAATATTAAAAAAACAGATAACTTTTCTTGAAAACACTCAAAATATTTAACTTTTACCACTGATTGATGATATAAAAGTATTTCTAAAGATTACGAATATCGATAAAGGATGATAAGAATCCAACTGATGATTTCATGCGAACTAAACGTTTTAAGTTGTATATGCTGTTCCAATAATATTACAATCAATAATAATAATAAAAGCGTTTCCAACCTTATCTTCCAGACCATACTATAAGAACAACTTCATATTAAATTGAGTTCATTAGTTATACCTTATTGCCTATTTTTAATACATATTCAGGATCAGTATATTTTATTTAGCGTTCTTTAGTTCAGAAGCTATGGAAAACCGTATTCGAAACGTTCTTACAATATAAAATCTGGTTGAAAAACACATTTAGAAATATTGAAATTATCAGAAGAAAATTATCATCAACAGCAATGTAAGAATAAAAACGACAATTTTACAGAACATCTTTTAGGTTACTATTTAACCAATAAACAATTAACTAACCTTGTCTGGAGCATCTCGATCGCGGAAATGCTGCTTTTATACACAAAATCCATTGAATTCGCCGGTGCTGAGTTAGTCACAAAGTGAACAAGGTTTACCTGCAGAAACGTCACAGTTCAGTTTACAAACACAGAATCGTTATATATTTATCTTGAGTGACATATTATGCATCTAATCCTGGTAATCACAGAAAAGATAACGATAAATTCGCTAAAACTTGGATTTTCTTTACTCACAAGGGAATGGCTACAAAAGTCTATTCATAATTTCTTTAAGAAATCGAAACTTCTTCTATAAAAGTATTAGAATATAAATGATATTGTTTTCGTAGAAGATACACATTCTTAAATAAAGGACAAAATTAATACATCAGATTAAATCTAATTTGTTTTATTCACATTCTTTACAACCTTATATTTACATATAACAAACGTTTTATATAACAATATCATCATTTCCTTCTAAACATTAAGCTACGGATTCCACTAGAACTAACTCCAGAATATATTGCACTCCTGTTTCATCCTTCCAAATTCAGGAACATCTATACGAGAATGAAATGTGTCACTAAGAACATATCTAATAACTTATGATTACATTTGTTTTAGAGCAAAGCCAAATTGGGATATCTGCTGTGTATACCGCGGGGATAGAGCCCCGGATTTTAGCGTTGTAACGAATGAATAGGAAGATAAAATATTCAACATAGAAATTGCCTTATAGCAATAAGAACGTAAAACTTATATAATATTAATATATGGATTATTAGCTAAGATTTTATGTTGCACTAATTGGTATAACATAAACAAAGGGTATTTTAATAAAAATTTGAATGTAAGACACAAAAACCTTGTGACATGCGCAGTAAAGGATACCCGTAAGGATAAAAATAAACGATCTCCATCCCCACCACGCGTCTAGGTGACCGGACTAAGTTCAGTGCAGTGTAGTCAATTTATTTTTGCCATTTTTTGCTGCTTTTCATAATTACTCTTAAATAGCAGTATGGAATCCAAACATAAAAAATCTCCAAGTGTTAGTGAGGCAAAGAAAAGCCATAAAGTTTTGACATTAGCTAAGAAAATTCAGATCCTTGATAAGTTACAAAGTGGGATGACTGTAGCATCCATAGGCCGAGAATATGGCGTGAATGAGTGTTCCATACACATAATTAGGAGGAGTGAAGAGAAAATCCGTGCAAGTGTTAATGTTTCTGTCCCTATAAGTGCTAAGGTTTCTCAAGTGCCTAGGAAAAATTATTGAATGTGTGGATCAGTGAACAAATATGGATCTGTTGTTGATAGTGTAGCTATACGTGAGAAAGCGCATGGTTTGTATGAATATGTAGTCTCTAATGAGGGTGAAGTGCTGCGGGCAAGTAAAGTCTGGTTTGCCAAATTTAAGCAACACTTCAATCTGCATAACGTGAAACTGCAAGGTGAAGCTGCTTCATCCGATAGTGATGCAGCTGCATGGTTCAAGACGTGGTTCCTTGAATTCATTAAGGAAAAATGATATGCCCCTCAACATGTGTTTAATGCAGATGAGACAGGGCTCTTTTATAAGAAGATAGGCAACAGGACATACATCACCAAGGAGAAGAAGGTAGCATCCGGGTTTAAGGCCTTTAAGGATACTTTAAATGCAAGCCCATGTTACTGTATCACACCACAAACCCACGCACATTAAAAGGCAAGAATAAGCGACACTTGCCTGTTATTTGGTGTTCAAATGAAAAGGCTTGGGTAACTAAAATACTATTCAAGGACTGGTTGCAAAATCATTTGTGCATGAGGTTAAAGAATATCTGGCGAAGAAGAACCTCGACTCTAAGGTTATTCTAATTTTGGATAATGCTCCTGTCCTTGACCCTGACACACTGCAATTCAGCCATCCTGATGCGGAGATAATATTTTTACCTCCCAATACCATATACATCCTGCAACAGATGGACCAAGGAGTAATAAAGACATTCAAGTCTTACTATACAAGGAATGTCTACCAATGTGCAACCCAAGATATAGACTCTGTTGTTTTTGAAAACTGAACCAAGTTTTGGAAAGCTTATAACATAAATGACTGTATCGATATCACCAAAATGTCATGGGACGAGGTGAAAGAGTCTTCCATAAATACATGCTAGCATCATCTTTGGCATGAAGTCGTGAACGATTTCAGGGGGTTTCCAAAGGCTGAAAAGGAAGTTGCCGATATCGTGAGACTCGCTACAGATATCGGAGGTGAGGGGTTTAATATGAGGGATGAGGAGGTGATTGAGCTGCTGGAATTCCATCACCAAGAACTAATGATTGAAGAACTTGAAGAGCTGATCGTCTCCAGTGACAGTGATAAAGATGCCGAAGAAACAGAACCTGCTAAACCCATCCTCATAGCCAAGGATGTGTCCGATTTCCTATGGAAGGCAGATGAGCTCGCAGAAATGGCTGTAGACATGGATCCCATAATGGAGAGAGGCATTAAACTTAAAAGAGGGTTTAATGACGCTCTAGCACCCTAGAGAGAAATCTTGAAAGATTTGCGGAGGAAAGCCAAACAGCCGAAAATGTATCCAAGTCAGCCGATGTAACGCTTTTTGACTCCATCCCATCGACTTCTACATCTGTTTCATTGGAGTTTGAGGCCGAATTTTATGAAGATCCAGATGACCCATCGGTCTTTCTTAAACTAACCTCTCAGCCTCCAAATCTATTATTATCATCATCATCGCAAGTCTTCCTCTCATCAACGAATGTTCTTCGTCTTCATCATTCTTAGGTGAGGGTTACGATATAATGCGGTGTTGTATTATTTCATTTAACATATTTTCATTTACAGGTGCAGAATATCACATGTGGATGTTATTATGTTTATTATTTTATATCTTTAGTTCATATACAATACTGTGTAGGTAAGGCTTTTTATTTATATGTAAAAAAATCCATATATAAGCATTTGTCGGAGACTTAACGGGGCTGTGTTCCCGTATCCCTATTAATCCTATAATCTGTTGGGTGCCTCTAACATGGCTTGCTCGAAGAACGTATCTCCCGTGTTGAAGGAGTGTTCACCGTATGTCTTATACGAAATAGAATGAATATTCGTTTCCTTCTCCAGCTGCTTGAACCCTGTTGGCCTCGTTTCCGCATTAAACCATACGATGGTCAAGATGAACTTTGCTAGCAAACCAATGTTCGGGTGACACAAATAAATATCAAGAGGTCTTCAGATCTGGATTTGGAATTTCCAAAACGGGAGTATCACTTATCCTTAACAAAGGAGTATGAATCACCTTCTGAGACCAGGACCATCCAGAAAGAGACTTGCAACAAATCGCATCCCAACTATGGTAAGCAACGAATATAAATGTCAATGGAAATACGTGTCTCAGGTAACAGCACGCAACACAATAAAGAATTATCTCCATCTAAAAAAAGCGACACAAGTTGTTCCACGACATATCCAAGAGAGGATGACCAATTGTAGTAAAGTGTAGGAATATTACACAGCCAGGGAGAAATTTCAGTATATTTTGACACTTGATTAAAAGTATATGTACCTTGATAACTGCAACAAGTCTCTTGTCATTCATTGCTGGACAATGGGTGGAACAAATTTCCAAAATAGAACACGGGATGTCGAGAAAAGTTCATATCATAATCAAATAGTGCCCCATGGGCCTATTAGGGACCAGAAAAATTATGATCTGAGTGTATGAATATATTGCATCGCAAAGGACTGTTATATACCAAAAGCAATACATTTTTTAGGGCATCACACTTCCTACGTAACTCCAAACAATGTGAAAAAATAGTTCTGATACACGTCATTCCCTTTATATTAGCGGTGGTTGTTTTAATATAACGCCCTCTGTATCAAAGCTACTTATATCGTGATAAATCTAGTGTATCAGTATACATTAAACAATGTTTTCTATGTTACAAATGAAACTTTATTTCACCCTCAATACATACTAAATGAATGCTTTAGTGTACTATGATTGTTGTATCCTAAATAAACGTGTTATTCTGCGAACTTCATTAAAACTAGGCAATGTTTTACTGCAGATAATTAATATAACCCAAATGAATCTTTTATTCTAATAAATCAGTATAATGTCAATAAAAAATTATTTTACCAGCATCAGCGCAAACGAAATTAATTTTAATGTACCAAACTTAATATAATCGAAATGAAAATTTTATTCTAGCAAATCAGTACAAACCAAATGAATTATACAATAATTAATAAGATATAAATGAAAGTTTTAATCTACCAACATCAGTATAAACTACATGAATGTTTATCGTATTGATTTTCTATCAAACTTAATACAAACTATATGAAAAGCCTTATTCTACTAACAATTTTACGAACTAAACGAATGGTCTAGTCTATGAAGCTTAATACAATCTAAATGAAAGTTTTATTCTGCCAAATAACGTTTAAAGTAACATTGAAGATGACTAAGTACTTCTATATATTAAACGAAATATTACACACCCATTAGCTAGGATCCAGATCCTGTTCCAATCACTTGGGCTCTCTGTGTGATGACTGATTACTTTTCACTTGAATAAATAGACCTCACGTATACGATCACAAAAAATTTCCTGTTCCTCTAATATTCTCAGCTATTGGTTTCCAAATCATACGACATGATGACGCACCCTCTGATACAGTGGTGCTGAAAAGCCTAATGAAGGTCGTTAGACACGTTCATTTTAGTTTAATCGACAAATTAATGAGTTGATTTAAATATTCTTTTATAAAAACGATCGATGAAAATATAATATGATCGTTTGTTTGTACGTTCAATAAATGAAAAGATAATTATCAACTCATTGTCAACTTGTGGAATGAGTTTCGTCTTAGCGAAAGTAAGTTTAGGTCACAAGGTCACACTCATACGTCATGCGTAAGCAATAAGGTGGTCCATTGTTATTCAATAAAGCATAATTAACCTTACTGACACATAATGATTTGTGACATGTTAAACAAAATTGCTACGTGTTGAGCGTGCGAACTTAATGTCCTTCATCACATGCTCGACCAACGTATTTTCGTGGTTGCTTATTGTTTGCTTGTTGAGTTTCGCTCAAAGCTACTCGAGGGATATCTGCAATAGTCGTTTCTAATTAAAAAAAAAACAAAAACAGAAGAAAGTCAACACCACCCACCATTAACTTTTGGGCTACTCTTTATCAACGAATAGTGGGATTTACCATCACATTATAACGTCCCCATGCCAGAGAGGACGAGCATGTTCGGTGACGGTTTCGATTCACTGACCCGCAGATTGCAAGATGAGCGCTAGGTAGTTTCATGGTTGTATAATATCAAGTTTATCTGAACATAATAAACAGCAATCGAAACCACCTGCATCACGATAAAACTGAATAGATGTTTAAAAATTAACAGCATCATCCCTAACGTTTTGATATTTCTTATTCAAGTTTTTTCGGGGAGGAGGATTCTAGCTTTAAGCCACTGCAGTTGTGCTGGGTATGAAGGTTAAAATGTTCATGGATGGTTAACTGTTTCTACATCTACAAATTTCCAAAACGATGTTAGGGAATCGTTTATAGAACAAAGGATCAGCTTGGAGCACCATGAATTTTCAAAATAGGTCTGTAACAAATGATAAGCAAAGTGTAAGAGGTCAGAACCAATGATACAATGGTCAGTGGCCAAATCCGTCCACGTGCCCCAAGCAACACTAGTCTACATAATCAAGATGGATCTCCGTCTGGAAAAACGACACAAATTTGGTGTACAAAAGTTGCTTCCACGACACGTCGGTTCAACTGTCACGCACCTCAAGTAGCTGGAGAATGAAATGAGTATCCATGCTGTTCGTTATGAAGACACAACGATAAATCACCGGAAGCAACGTCTATGAATTTCTGTGAGAACGGACTATTGAAACAGCCGCTGGGAAACCGTCGCCATTGTACATTAGATAGATTATGGAAAGCTGTGGGATAGAGAGGTGTGCTCTGAATTTAATAGCCTTACAACGAAGCCTTTATAATGTAAATTACGCTGCTGGGCTATTTTCAAGATGCAAGGTGGTCAAACAGAGAACGACTGGACTGTAACGACGTGGTGAGCCGTTTCAGTATAAAGTGCTCAACTTCAGTACATACCGCACTTTCAAAACACGCTTAATTTATGTTACTGAATCAGAACAGTGAAAGCTAAAAGCATTGTATTCAGTCGGCTTCCTCATTTCGTGTTGAGAGACTGCTTAGTGATTAATTGAAGGCATTTAATCGCTGGGAATAAAAGTAATTGTATAAGAACAGATAGGATATATATATATATGTAAAATAATAACAATCTGGGTTTAACGTGAGTGTAATGTAATATTTTTAATTAAAATTTTGTGTTGCCATTTCATATACAAGTTTGTGTTGTAATCTCGTTCTATACAAGATTGTGTTGTAATCTGGCTATATGCAAGTTTGTGTTGTACTTTCGTTATAAACAAGATTGTGTTGTATCTCGCTATATACACGTTTGTATTGTAATCTTATTATATACAAGTTTGTGTTGTACTTTCGTTATAAACAAGATTGTGTTGTATCTCGCTATATACAAGTTTGTGTTGTACTCTCGTTATAAACAAGTTTGTGTTGTACTTTCGTTATAAACAAGATTGTGTTGTATCTCGCTATATGCAAGTTTGTGTTGTAATCTCGTTATATACAAGTTTGTGTTGTACTCTCGTTATAAACAAGTTTGTGTTGTACTTTCGTTATAAACAAGATTGTGTTGTATCTCGCTATATACAAGTTTGTATTGTAATCTTATTATATGCAAGTTTGTGTTGTAATCTGTATTTGTAAAAGATTAGGTTGTTTATAATCTCCTTATATACAAGCTTATGTTGTAATCTCGTTATATGCAAGTTTGTGTTGTACCTCGCTATATACAAGTTTGTGTTGTTATCTCGTTATGAACAAGTTTGTGTTGTAATCTTGCGATATAAAAGTTTGTGTTTTAGTCTCGTTGTTTTCAAGTTTGTGTTGCAATCTCATTATAAACAAGTTTTTGTTGTAATCTCGTTATATAAAAGTTTGTGTTGTAGTCTCGTTTTGTGAAATTTGTTCTGTAATCTCCTTATATACAAATTTTTGATTCATTGATTTGTTTGTTTGTAATTAAGCACAAAGCTACACAACAGGCTATCTGTGCTCTGCCCATCATGGGTATCGAAACCCGGATTCTAGCGTTGTATGTCCGCAGACATACCGCTGTGCCAATGGGGGGGGCTTATTCATTGAGGGAACTTGATCACGAGGAACAAATGTTTTTACATAAGACACAAAAAAATAAAACAGTGTATGAAAAAGAGAGATGTTGATGTAAAATAATAAATATTCATTATATACTATAGAGATATTGATGAAAGAAACACCGAAGTATTGAAAAGGATACTGAAATAATGAAGGAGCTAGAGTGAAGAACACGTGACATTTATACAAAGCCTTCAATATAGTAACGCTAGAGGATATGATAGTCAAGCACACAAAAGAAGGTGATTTTATTTGTCTGTTGGAGTATAACGACGTAGAGACAAAATAACCTCACTTTGATATTTCCGTGTCACGACATAGAGAGAGAGGGGGCTACTCTACTCGTATGTTGCTGTGTCACGACATAGAGAGAGAGAGGGCTACTTCACCTTTATGTTGCTGTGTCACGACATAGAGAGAGAAGGCTACTTCACCTTTATGTTGCTGTGTCACGACACAGAGAGAGAATGCTACTTCACCTTTATGTTGCTGTGTCACGACATAGAGAGAGAAGGCTACTTCACCTTTATGTTGCTGTGTCATGACATAGAGAGAGAAGGCTACTTCACCTTTATGTTGCTGTGTCACGACATAGAGAGAGAAGGCTACCTTACTTTGATACTTCTGTGTCATGACATAGAAAGAAGATGACCTTACTTGTATATTGCTATGTCACAACACAGAGAGGAAGTGACCTTACTCGTATACTGGTGTGTCACGACATATCTGGTAAAGAAAGAGACTCAATAAAATAAAGTTTATATAATTTGAATTCAGTACAATTTCAAGACATACTTATGATAGATTCACGGAAGAGGACGTAGAATTAATAGGTACATGGTCTTAGAGGAACTATAATGATGATCAAGTAGCATGTTTAACATACTTAGACTTTAAATATCTTTTATATATGTTGAGGAAAATGACACATTTTAGGAGCAAAAATAATACAGAGTTAGTCTGTTGGGTTTTGCGTGGTGCTAGTCGAGGGATAATTGCGCTAACTGTCCCTAATTTTGAAGTGCTAGACTATTCAAGACCATCCATCTTCAACTCTTTGGTTTCTCTTGTCAGACGGATAATTTAGATTTGACTCAAGTCTCCAAATCGCAATCTTTGTGTGTGTGTGTGGTAAAGGGACACGAACCACAGTCCGGGATCGCGATCTTTATGTGTGCGTGTGTGTGTGATAAAGGGACACGAACCACAGTCCGGCACGATAACCACTGAGTCACGCAAGAACATCAATACAGAGAAATGGTGAACAACTTTTTCAAGTCAGTACACCCTCCCCCCAATAGGGTTATTAGTCCACATATACTCAACCTTCAATTCACTGATAACCTTTTTGTGAATGTAAGTAATGTGGAAATATACAATTAAGTTTGAGAATATCGCTTTATAAAAGGCACCAATTAAATACATCTTTGAATATAGTTTGATGTCACGTTTTTTTCTAGATAATCATTCGATTGACTGGTAATTCTAAAGTAAAGGAAGAGACCACACGAATATAAAGGAAACGTATTTAATTATTTTCAAATACGTTACGCTATCTTGTGTGTCGTCACAAAGGTTATCTTAATAACCTCAAAGGGATTTCCCTATTAAGCTGGTTGTGTGTTGTTACATAAAAGAACGCTGTTTGGGTTGAATCATTAAAATGGACTCTAAAAGTATCTTTCCCAAGTTAGTTCATTATAAAATGTATATGATTAACATTGCAAAGAATTTTGAGCAACAAGTTTGGCGAACTCTTGTAACTCAATGGGAAATAACTTTTCGAACTTTTTAAAGAACGACAATAGAAAAGTAACGTCATCGTTAGCATTTTAAGATTGTTTTCGTCAGCTTTATGGGAATATTGTAATGGAACTACGATGTACCGCATCCCACTAAAATTGTAATTAAACTCACAGTTTATATATTTACTACTCAAACTTTTTTGTATCACTTTGTGGTCAATTTTTAAAATGAATATAGCAGAAAATATTTGGCTAGTAGCTATCTGAGAGTTGCATAATGTATTATTTTACATATTCTTAAATTCAAACGCAGATGTATTCATTTTGTCCCCCAGTATGTCTTTACATAACTGAACGTGGACGAGAAGAACCTTCAAATGGAACATTTTAAGTGTACGGAAATATAAAAGTTGATCAGAAAATAATAGACAACAAATTAAATATTATCAATAGCTATTGTCATTCAAGCTCCTTGATGAGAGTCTAAATGTTGATCATTGGTAGACCATCCCATTTCTTCACATGGGCGTCTCCTAGTTCTTGGAGAATTATGA